CGTGAAGATTTCCCAACCATTCCCAGTTTTTCCTATCTTTGCTTAGCATCCCCCACATACCTTAGGATCACATGCATGCAAGGTAACCACTATAATTCCCATGAATTACCTCACTAAAGGTCCATTTTAGCTACAATAGGGAATTGAGAGCTTGGGTGATAGAAGCTTACCTCTTGGAAGGGAGACCTAGGTGCCTTGTTTGTTAATCTTCAAGATGTTTAGGCTAGGATTTGATAAACAATGAATGGAGACCCCTTCCCCTCTCTTTGATCCTCCTCTCTTACTCTAATTATCTGGGAAAGTATGCTGAAAATGGCCTAAGGGGGTGTTTTAACGGAATGGGGTCGGGTTTTAAATTAAGAATATGGGTGCCACGATACGTGCGACCGCATAATGGTTATGCGGTCCGCAGAATGAGCCTCAGGAAGTTAAGTTTTCTGTCCGAGTATGCGACCGATATGCGGTCCGCATATCTGTTCTGCGGTCGCATAATGCACCGCAGAAATTCCCTTCGCAAAAGTTCAAGGCAGATATGCGGCCCGCTATGTGGTTATGCGATCGCATACTTGGGCCGTATATCTGGCCTCAAAATTGGCCAACTTTCTGTTTCACTCTGCGGTCCGCAGAGCTATTATGCGGCCGCATAATGGGCCACAGAAACGCGTTCCTTTGGGAAACTTTTTCCTCTAAGTTGTAGGGTATTGTTCGATCCAAAAATTCCGAACTTCTACTATAATAACGCAAGAATCCAACTCGGCACCACGAAATCCCGAGTTTTTGGTTAAGAATTTTACAGGTCCTTACCGCTGTAGAAAATGAAACAGGTGGAGTTCTACTTTTCTACATGAAATGTGGTTCTGATCTTGAAGGGAATTTTATATTCGTTCTACTACTGTATTAATATATTATTATTATTATTATTAATCCCCTGCACTAGTATATTTGTTAAGTGCCGTTTATTTCAAGAAAGTGAGTTCATGAGAAGTTAGATATAGTTCGATTACTCTTATTTGGGAATAAATAACAATAACCTTCTTGGTTTTCTATTTATGATGAAAGCTTCTGTTTACTGGGATTCCAATTGCTGGAAGTTTTACTTCTTTTTCTTTTTTTTTTGTTATGTTTTCATATATGCATTACATATATATACAAGGTGTGGTGCTGTGAATTGGAGTATCGAATTTTGTATTTTTCTGTCTTAAATGTTTCTATTGAATCATTTCTGTGCTCTATTTTTCATGTCTAATCCAGATGTCTACTATCCGATTATTAGTTTTTTTTTTTTTTTCATTTATAAATTTCTTTGTACCTCCCTCTTCTGATTTAGAAATTTGTAGCTCCGAGTATTAGAGTATGTTAGTTGCGGTAATGTGCTGGAGAACCACAATGTAATTATGTGAAGGATCAAGCTGAAATGGTACGAGTCAATATAGAACGACTCAAGTTGTCAGCCAACCAGTCTGATAATATCTTGCGCATAAGCAGTTGTAACATTGTATAATCTGTTTCTAATCCGTCTGATATGATAACAATGGTGGATTTGGTGCTCTTTATAACTTCTCCAGTCTTTCATCTGCTTCTGTGATATTAATCTTCTCCCTCGTTTTTGTGTATCCCCTTCAGTTATGGGCTTGTCTGGGTGTCTGCTACTTTGATATTTGTCATTTCTTCCCTGGGAAATTGTGCTACTTACCTGATGCATAAAAGAAGTGATAGCAGCAGTTCTTGGTCATTTGATGTCAACTATGTGAACGTCGCGGCAGGCTCAGTTTACGGTTATGCACTGCTTGTGCCAATGGGGTTCTATTTCTTGCTTCAGTACTTGGGTTCTAGTGCTAGCCTCATACGCTTCTGGTGCTTGTGGGGATATTCCCTCTTTGTTTTGACTTTGAGCTCCGTAAGTACTTCTAACAATGCTCTGTCTTTTGTCTAGATTATTGACATATGCCATCAGTACCTGAATGTCTGATGTAATAGTAATGGATTTCTCTTAGTACCTCTATGGTTGAGAAGCTTAAGGGTTTCTTTAAGTCCAGCTATGTGTTTAAAGCAACATCTACGAGAGCTAAAGCATGTTCATAGTAGCATAAGTTACTCCATCAAACAATAATGTAGAAGTTATGGATCTGTCACATGTGAGGCACCTGAGTGTGCAGCCCATAAACTTGACAATGCATGGACAGAATTGACACCGTATGTTTTGCATATTGCAGTTTGATGTAATCTTTTGATCATCCATTGGAGATCACTTCTACTCTTCGGAAACTTGATTGGTTTCGTTCGTCTTTCTGGTAACTTTGTTGACAAGATACTTTTGTTCTCTGTGTCTCAGTTTCTGTTGGTAATCCCAATCGAGTTTCTTCGGTGGACAATCACACTACTGGCTGGTGCTGCTTCAGCTAGCTTCGTTGCTGCAAATCTCAAAATGTATATACAGTCAAATGATCTTACGATTGTATTGGTTGCTGCTTTTGTCCTGCAAATGGGCCTGACAATCTTCATCAAGATGTGGTTTTTCTCTTAAGACTTGTTTTGTAGGTAAATTGTAGCTCAAGTTGCTATTCTCAAGGCGGCAAGTAATTTTGAGTTTTATTTTTCTTGGACACAATTTCCCCCCTTTTCTGGTTCGGGATACAATTACAGTGGTTTGTATAGCTGTGAAGCAAAAGAGTACTGGAAAGTCTAACAGAGAACTTGCAGAGAAGTGTCTAGATACTCTCAACTAAGTCCATTGTTGTTCGTGTTGCTTGTTGATTGGTGCTTGAAGAACATATGCTTCTGGTCTGTAAATTTATTAGACTTGTGAGCACAAGATGTAAAAACTATTTCTGTTTCATCATGATCTTTCTGGAGTTCTATATTTGCAGATCCTTGTACATATAAATCACTTATGTTAGATATCCTTTCCATCCTACATTTACATAATGGTAGTGGTTAAGCAGAAAGCAAAGGATATTTGAGAGGCGGATGAATCTAGATTTCTACTTAGACTTCGGCCTTTGATTTTGCTAAGATGTATATATGTCATATGACTAACAGGAAGCTCCTTCTTGTAGGGCGTGGACGTTAACCATTGTAATTTTTTTCAGCAAGGTCTTTGTCATTGAACTCGCCGCTTTGTTTTGTTTGCTCATTTTCTTATCCTTTTGATCACCTGTTAAAACACACACACACACACACTACACCCCTCGAGATTGATTTCTTTATAAAGTGAGAGTTCCTCAATTTCGGGGAGAAGTACTTTAATTCATTTCATTAGAGAAACCTGACTTCTGAATATTTTAGAACAAGTAGTTTGTGTTTTAGCTTTTTGTAAGATACTCATCAACCAGAAGGGGACACCTTTTATAAGAAACTTCCCCCTCACGTTAGTCTGCGCACAAAACAAATATAACACATTTAATAGCCAAGATTATAAGTTTCTAGATGTCATAAGTAGTCGTTTGCATCAGTTTTCTTCTCGTTTCTTCTATTTTCTCCGTACCAAACACGTTGTGTACGTCTAAGAAACTTATGAAAAATATTTCTGTGTTTAAAACATTTTTGGCAATCATTTTGGATTTTTTTTTCTTTAGGTATTTTCATAGTATTGGCATAAAATGAGTTTAAATGGATTAACGTGATCAAGTTTAGATAGTCGGTCCTAACTTACTTGGGATTGAGGTGCAGTTATATTTTGGAAATTTTTAGTGTTTGCGTAGGTATAAGGTAGGTGATGTATAATATCTTACAAGGTAGATGGGAATGGTGTTCCGGTGATATTCTTTTTGTTTAAAGATTAACATTAATGCTCAATTGTATCAAGTGATATGTAGAGATTTAAGATATTTGTGAACGAATGTGACTTATGTTCATAACGTAGAAGCTTATTCTCCTCTTTTTCTGAGAAATATTTTTAGGAACTTCAGAATATCCAAAAGAGATGAATCTGGGTGTAGTGTCACTTTGGGTTTTGTTTGAAATGAACACTACCTTTGCTCTTTTCATGGTTGGTCTTAGTTTTTGGTTTTTGTTTTTGTTTGGCTTTTGGCATGGATTTGGAAATAAGGTGATCAATGTATAAAGTACTCTCTTTTGTCCCCTTGTTTTGGAGTGTTTATAAAAAAAAGTTATTCTTCAATTGAGATTTTGCCATCTTTCTTTCAGTAGAGTAGTATTTTAATTGAACTTCTTAGTACACAATTAAAATAGAGACATTGGCATAACTGTACCTCTGAATAAATCCGCACCCATTCATCCTCCAGAGGAGTAGATGCAGATGTTTCGAATCGAAGATTTTTGCAAGATAGCCCCGGACATCATAGCATGTCAGAAATAAAGGGACTTTAATGTAATCACTCCTTTGGTTGAGGCCTATGGCACCTTTATCCTTTCAATTTTTTGATTCACGTGTCTTTTTATTATCACCGTTGAAATATTTTTAAAATGACTTTATCAGTTTGATTAGTTGCTCTATCGACCCAAAGTGAATATTAGGGGAAGGGCAAAGCCTTTACCATGCAGTAGGCAGACGTTCATTGTTGGAACAAGTTCAAACTTGACTGAAGTAAATAAATTAGTTTTGCAACCGGTGGCCAAGAAAAAAATCGGCCAGTGACATCTGTTGCAAAATTAAGCTTTCCCATTAGAATTTTTCATTTATTCTGCTCATAACGAATATAAATTCTATACTTTTAAATTTTAATTTATAGTAGCATTTGAAAAATTTACACCCTATAACTAACTTATATACTATATTCATCATAAATAAATACACTTTAAAATAATTATAATTCCTATATACACTTTGGGTTTTTAGCAAATACCCTCTTTAAGGGGATTTCTAACCCTATCTTGAATACGACCCTCGTCTATCTTCCCAGAGTTTTCACTCATCTCCAACTTTGTTGACTTTGAGTCCGTCATGACCTGGGCGTTGTCGCCGACAATTCCCCCATTTTTACTTCCTCTAAACAACCGATTCATATCCTCGATCCGTATGAATCTGTGTGAAGTAAATAGGACATCAGATAGACCACAATGGAGAACACGAACTTTCCGCTGTCAATGGTCTCCTTGACGGCGCTTCCGGCAATGGCAGGGACAAACATTCATTACTTAAGCAAACGTGATGGAGATCTTGAAGAAGCTTAGAAGAATAGATCTGTTGTTCGATTTGAGTTCCCCACCTCGATTGGTCAAAAGGATTTATTTTTTGATACAAAATTCAGAATGATTCTCACGAATTTTACTTGTGTTGAGAGACTGCAGGAAAAAAAAAAAAGGCCAGACGGGCCTAACGGGCCGGTACTGTGGGCTGGGCCCAGCCCGGAACTGGCCCGGAACCGCGGGCCAAACGGGCCGGTCCCAAATGGTGCATTAAGCCCGTAGCGGGCCGGTCCTACACAAATAGCCCACGAGCCCGGGATCGCTAAGCCCGGGACCGGTTCAACCGGGCCTAACGGGCCAAACGGTCCTCAACGGCTATATTTTAAAAAAAAAATTTTTTTAAAAAAAAATGACCAACGGTCAGATTTTAAAATCTAGTCGTTGGCCATCAAAAAATAGCCGTTTGGGAGTTAAAAAAATAGCCATTTGGCCCCCAAACTTTATTTTAACCCCAAACTTTATATAATTACACTTTTTCCCAATTCTCAACTATAAATACCCCCTCATTCTTTCATTTTTACCCACAAATTCATCAATCTCTCTCAATCTATATCTAATTCTCTTCTATAATTGCTTACTTTATTATTGCAATTTCGTGAAAAATTGTGAAGTTGGTAAATTGAAGTATTCAAGTCTTCAAGTCTTCAACGATTTTCAATTTTCAAGAAGTTGTTCGTCAATTCGGTAAACTCGTTCCAACTCTTAAGTTTTAAGAATATAATTTTGTTTGTTTTAGTTTGTATAATTATAATTAATATGGCCTTTTCTTTGAAAAAAATGTTTGGTGGTAAGGGAAAATCTAAAATTGGTGAATCTAGTCGCCAAGCTACTACCCTTCTCCCGGCTCCCCGACCCAGACCTGTTACCCGTCCTCCTCCACCTATTATTCTTGATAGTGATAACCCTTGTTTTCAATTTTTCAATAGTGAATTTTGCCATGATGTTGCACCAGGTCAACAATTAAATGAAGAAGTTATGGATGCTCTTTATCCTAATGAAACTATCTTTGAAAATGATGAGGAAAATGATGATGTAGATGAAACCCAACCGGATTTAGATGATACACCTACTAGTCCTGCTAATAACCCAACTGATG